TAATCACCTAACTCTTCTACCTTGCCTTTGATGGGAGACACTTTATTGATGAAAGTGCAACCCGTCCCAAGCCAAGGAAGTACACCTGTTCCGATTTGCTCACATCTCGCCCTTTCATTCTCTTGGCTGGTGATCTAGGAATCTCGCATGATGTTCTTGACGATGACCCTCCACATGTTTCAGTCTCTGACTGCGTTCTCTATTGCAACCATTCCCACACCACCACACGATGCATCCGCAGTTCCGCATGCGACCAGAAGGGCACCCCGGCGAGACAAATCCCACAGCTTCGAAGGTCTCCCGGAGGCCTGGAAGCACCCGCAGGTCTCCCAGCGCGGGCTTCGGAAGCACCGGCCTTCTGCACAATGTGCTTGATGTGATCACGACCTACTAGTAACAAGAAGCTACTAGTAACAAGTGCATTGCTACTAGTAGCTACAAGCTACTAGTAGCGATGCACTTGTTACTAGGTTACTAGTAGCTTCTTGTTACTAGTAGTAATGCACTCGTTACTAGTAGCACGGTAAATCTTTGAAGATTTGGATGTGACCATGTCCACCATCAAGGATCAAGGCTGGTGTGCTTTGGAAGCAAATGAAGACTGGCTAAGACTGGCAGGGCCAAGTCTCAAGCTGAGTATATATATATATACATAGCCACACTATGCCACGCATAGTCTCAAGGCATATTATCTCTGCCATCCTCTTCCCCCGACGGCTCACCTGAGTCAGTGAGGAACACCGCCAGAGTGCCTGGCAGCTCGCGAGACGGCTCGAGAAGTGGCACATCTTCGTGCACCCCGAACCCCAGCAGCTCTCGGATGGATTCTGAGAATTCTGAGATGATCTGATGGATCCCAAATCCCACCGAAGAAAAGAAAAGAAAAAGCAGCCCTCGAATTCAAGCAGAGCCTCCCGAGATCGAAGGCCACTGGCGACTCACTGGACGCACCGGACCCGTATCGACCCACGCCACTGGACGCACCGTCACCACGCACGTAGCGGTCTCCGCCCATCCAGTGGCCAGCACCGAAGCGCAGCCTGAGTGGGATGGAAGAAATTCTATCCCTCTGATGGTTTTGGGGTCGCCCTCAATGGGTCGCTCAAACCTCCCCATGACAACAAACAGGCTATAGTCCACAACCAACAAATTCCAAGTTTGGACCGGAGAAAATGAGCAAAAACGTGCTGCTTGCAGCCCTGTGAGTCCTGAGAGGCAACCACTGTTCACGACTTAAAACAGGGCTTTGTGTGCTAAAGAGTCAGACCTCAGTATTCACCCAAGCAATACAGGAGTTCATTGAGAGTCACATCTCCAGCATCCTCCAGGCAAAAGCTTTGAGACCTGGGCCAGCCTGGGACTCAAAACCACGTCAGGTGTCCCAACTGTGCAAGGTCACCTCGACCGTAGTCGCGCACCATAACCATCTGGGCGCAGCTGGCACAGTGGTTTCCAAGGCTGAGAATTGACCCGTGACCTATCTGGGCAGGTCCAGAATACCTAGAATGCCTGATAACAGGCATTATGTGCTAGACCAAGTTGAAGAACGACAACACTCAAGAATACGACGAATGACGAGAAGACATCCCGACATTGGCGTTGTTTCTGGCAAATGATAAATTTAGAGTTTAGAGTGCCATGTTATTATGTCCGAAGAAATGTCGTAGCTTGGGCCTGTTCCTCTATGATGTTTGTCCTTCAAATGGTTCTGCCGTACCAATCAACGTCAACCCCCCACTGGTTGCATAGACAAGAACCCTCAAATCACATTTGCAGGCTGGCTGCTTGATTTCTTTGAATGTACACTGTAAAATGTAAACCTTTTGCCAGAACTTGAAGGTGTAGGGTCGAACCTATGCCTTGTGTTTTGCCTTGAAATCGATGATAGGTCTTCATCTTGCCACAATCCAATCTCCCTATGATTCTTCGAACCCTTCAAGTGAAAACGGGCTTCGCTCTTGGGGCGAGCCGACAAGATCGGTCCATGAACCGAGCCCACGAGATCGGCAAGGCGGTAGGGGGGTGAGGACGGTCCCACCCTGTAGGACGGACCGGTGAGGACGGACCTGAGGACCCGGGCTCCGCCGGGCTTGAGAACACTCAAGATCCGCTGCAAGGTCTGGCTGTGCCTGAATCAGCGGATTGACTTTGCTTGTCGAAGCCAAGCTGCGGGGGGAGGGGATGCTACTACATCTCTTATTCCCACAGCAACCTCAACAGGTTCAAGACCCGCGAGAAACATCTCACAGTGAGAAGTTCACATGAGTTTGGAACCTACTTTTCACTGCAGGGTCATCTCTGCGATCAAAAGTAATGACGACCACCTCTTTCAAACCCATGTGTGTGTGATGGATGACACTGGACACCATCGTTCTTGATGAAGATTGAAGATCGGGCACGAGTGGATGCCCCCCCCCTTCACTGCCAGGTCACTGCTCCGGATCGATGGCACCTCAAGGCAGCTGCGTGGTGGAGAAACATCCGCTGGATTGAACCAGCCGAATCAGCCCATCTGAGGTGCCAGGGAGGACATCTCAAAATATCTCGACCCTGCATCTTCTTTGGTTGTTTTTGACCTTTCCAGCTGTCCCGGCTTGATGTTCTTCATGGGTGACCGGGAGTCAATGCCCTTCAACTTTTGGTTTCATGATGTTGTGCTTGCAACTCCTCCCCCCCCAGCAGAAGCTATTTGTTGAAACGCATCTGATTGTCAGAAAGAGGACCCCGGCGCAATTCGAAGAAACAAATCGTGCTCAAACTGTACAAGGAGCATCAATTCTCTGTCTCTCACACGCTAGGCGCGCCGCGCGGATCGCTGAGCGCGGATCGCTGAGCATGGTTCTCGCGTGATTTCGAGCGGCTCATCTCTGGACTCCAGATCGAAAGTTGTCATGCAATTTATTAAAAATTGCAAAAGAAGACGTGGACAACGCTGCAAAGGAGAAGCACCAGTTCTATCATCGGTGTGCAACAGCCTTTCCTGAGCCACTACCTAACGTCGGTTTTTTCATCCCACTCTCAGCGCTTGCCATCGCGACGGTTGCGGTCGTTGTGGTCCTGGAGCTTTCAGCAGTTTCAGGGCGGACCTCTTGGAATCGTCGAATAAAAATTGACGAAAAATGAAAAAATAAACCGCTGAGGGTATTTATGTGTATATATATGTGTATAGCGACGGCGGACTAGATAGAAATATTTTTGACTCGGGGCAACATTGATTTTTGGACTTGTTTTTTTATTTTTTTGACTTATTTCTATCTTTAATTCGCGTGGTATTTACAGTGTTTTGAGAAATGTATGATTTTTATCTTGATTTTGCTGGTATTTACAGCACTTTGGGCACGTGGTGTTGATTTTCACTGGTATTTACAGCACTTTGGGCACGTGGTGTTGATTTTCACTGGCATTTACAGCACTTTGGGCACGTGGTGTTGATTTTCACTGGTATTTACAGCACTTTGGAACGGAAACCTTCGTATTCCTTGCTATTTGCAGCACTTTGGAAGGGTGTCTTTCATATTTCGCGCTATTTACAGCACTTTTTATCAACACGCATCAAAATCCATGATATATGCATGGAAATCTCAAAGATAGAAATGTAACCTTTTCAAAGCTATATTTCCTTAACGGGGGAGACAAAATGGACACACACACACACAACTTCAGATTTTGTATAAATCCGTGACTAAAACATGATCATTTTGAATACTTTTTGCATCGGAAGCACAGGTCCCCAGAGAAACACTTCTACAAGTAATTTTTCAACAACAACAACAACCTCCACATTCTTTGCTTTTTGCAGCACTTTGGAACACATGTCTTTCTGATTCCTTGCTGCTTGCATCATGTTGAAACAAACAACCTTCATATTCCTTGCTATTGGCAAGAAATTGGAAGGCATGACCTTCATGTTCTGTGGTATTTGCAGCACTTTGGAACGGAAACCTTCGTATTCCTTGCTATTTGCAGCACTTTGGAAGGGTGTCTTTCATATTTCGCGCTATTTACAGCACTTTTTATCAACACGCATCAAAATCCATGATATATGCATGGAAATCTCAAAGATAGAAATGTTTTGGGTGCTCGGTCGGGCGGTCTTTTTGTTAAATAAGTCACTTTCCCTGTGTTTTACAGGCAGATACTAAAAATAGAAATGTCAAAAGCTCATATTTCGCGCTATTTACAGCACTTTTTATCAACACGCATCAAAATCCAGGATATATGCATGGAAATCTCAAAGATAGAAATGTTTTGGGTGCTCGGTCGGGCGGTCCTTTTGTTAAATAAGTCACTTTCCCTGTGTTTTACAGGCAAATACCAAAGATAGAAATGTCAAAAGCTCGGTCGGCTATAGACCCTGGTTTTTGACTTTTTTGCATTTCTATCTAGTCTGCCGTCATTATATATATATATATGTATGTATCATTGCCGAAAAACGTCACAAGGATTCTTGGATTCTGGTGGATTCATTGGCCTTCTGTTACATGGCTAGCAGGTTGGAGTCTATCACTCTTAGGTTGGAGGCCATCGCTAGTAGGAAGACATGGCGTTATTCTATGTCTGGGCGGACTCATTGAGCCTTATGCTATCTTATGTTATATACATGTTTGTAAGTATTTGCATGTTTGCAGGCCCCAGGCCCCGTGAAGCCTACACTACTACAGGTACCCTGCATCAGAAGAACACGGCCTTTGCCGGAAAATGATACGTGTAATGTGTCTCGCATGGATGGGGCATTGCGGGATTCCCCAACCATGCAGGTCCATGCAGGCGAGTTGCACAAGCATCTCGCCCCCACTCCTAGATGTCTCTTATGTGAAAAAAACCATTAAAAAACGTGAATCATTCACTTGAAGGACGTTGCGCCATCGAGGCGCCGCCTTCATCAAGGCGCCCGTCAGCAACCCCACCGCCACCATGCCACCCACCGCCAGAGCTGTGAGGCCTGCCACCTGTGCGAGTGCGTTTTGGCGCGTTTTGGTGGGGCAATCCATGGGAACAAATGACCCAAGAAATGGCACCTTTCAGTGAGGGAGGATCCTTCAAAGAAAACATTGACAACTTGCAAAGAACTGGAATGGATGCTTGCCAGATCCAGTCAGTCTGTCCAATGCTGAAAGAGGTGGGGGTAGCTCCCTTCATCCCGGTTTCATCAGTGATTCTAGGGTCACTGATTCCATCCACCCATCTGACAGTCCCAGACCTTGCACCAATCCATCTCTTCCCAAGAGTCGTTTCGCTCACGGACCGGCACATGCTCCAGCACCTCTCGCAGCACCTCTCCGGATGGACGGATGGGCGTCGTTGCATCATCGACTCGCTTGTTGGCTCGGGCGTCGTGTTCATGGGATGCTCGTCACACCGACACCAGGGACCTAACCACTTCTCAGTGGCCCCAGGCCTCTGGTAACCAGTAGCTTAGTGAAGTCCCCACTGTCCATTCCAAGTGAAGCGGGTCCAAAAATGGGTCGAGAAATGGGGGCCTTGATCTTCCCGCCATTTTCTGACTTCCCCTTGGATGATTCTAGATATTGCGAGCATTGTCATGCGCCAAACAGTGCAGACTCACATGAAAGGATGAAGGCAGTTTCATGGATGTTTTGTTGGAGAAGCACACTTGTGCAAGGTATCCAAGCTCATTCAATTCCAATGCAGACATGGTGGGAGAAGAAAATAGACATGAGCTTCTGGATGGATCACAGTGCATGGCCCACAGTTCACGCGGGGAACTCCCCCAGCTCTTCGACTCCTCAACCCCTCACCTGGGCTCGCTGTGGCGTCACCCCCTTACCTGTTCGAGCCGCTTCGAACCCGTGCGCGTGCGCGTGCGCGTGCCCCGAACTTGGCTCTTTCGCCCACCAGACTTAAACTTCAGAAGAAAATGGTTCGAGTCAACTACTCCTGCGAGCAGAAAGTTGGCAGTTTAAGCCAGTGGAGCCACAAGTCCTTTGTTCCTAATTCGTTCGCCATGGTTGAGCAGCTTGATAAGGAACCTGTAACCTGTATGTGTTTGGTGCTGATGTATCAAAGAGGATTGGAGCTTGTTTCTGAGTTCTGCTGCAGCAGTTCACCAGTTTGACAAAATCCGCCGAAACACCCCGTATCGCCACCACTCCAGCTTGAAATCTAGAGATGAAGCTTCTTGTGTTTGCGCATTGATTCCTTTGCTCCATCTGGCCTAAAATGGTGAGGTCTGCATCCCATCTTGCGACTTGCTCAGTGAACCCTAGCAACTTTGACACAGCGTCTCGGCAAAAATCCCAAGATCAAAAAGAGAGAGTCAGAGTCGAGTCAACTGACAGGTTCTGCCAGTCGACAAGAGGCCCTTAAACTGCTGCCAGGCTTCAACCTGGGGGCTCTTGTAGAAATTCCTGGATTGGTCCTCAGAGGAATGGCTTTGGGCCAAGGACAGCACGGCAAGAACTCGACAAGCACTTGAACCATACCCTACCATTCTCTTGATTACCCATGGTGTTGCACCCATGTTTTGCTTTCACACCACACTGAAAGAACCTTGCAATCACTATCTATCTGCTTGAGTTCAACCATTCAAGAACTTCAAACATAAGTTTTGATTGCTCTTCAGACTGCGGTTCATGCAGATGACTGTAGCGCCTAGAGTAACTACGATCCATCACTCCCACCATGAGCAGTGGATCACAGAGGAGATCCTGACCCCAGTCGCAGAAAACGACGGAACGAGCGGCGACGCCGCAGCTGCAGTGGGCATCGGCATTCGGGGCAGTTCGGTTCCTGTCATCCACACAGTGCTCATACTGAGGAAGGCAGCCTACAAAACCACAAGTGCTAGTCACTAGTCACATAGTCTTCCACATACATGCATGGAAACGTTCGACAGGACGGATCGAAGTCGTCTCCTTTCGTGCCACTCTAGCGACTCAACACATGCACCGCAAGTTTCCTTCAATGCCCACCTAAGAAACATCAGTGACTGTGTTGGTCAGCCAGTCATGTCTTCGAAGCTTCTACCAGCAAGCAAAAGCACAGTGTGTCTTCGGCTTCTACCACAAGGGAGCCAAAAAGAACACCAAGCAAAAAGCCATACAGACAAACCAGACATCTGTTTGACTAAAAAATTCAAGGTCACACATCACGGGACCCATAACGGTCCAGGTTTTTGTATGTGTTCAAGTGCGTGATTTGCATGTTTGTATTCAATGGCTGCATACAGCAAAAATTGCGGGTGTTCTATTTGGGGTATTCTACCACTTTGGTATTAGTTCTACATAAGTTGGATTTTGTCTTCTGGTCTTTCACTTGCATGTTTTCAGTTCTGTGTGGTTCTCTGTGTTCTAATCGTCATGCACAATGCTAGGAGCAGCTCGGCCACGCACTTGTTTCAAGCTGTCATCACCGTCCCAACCCCAAAGGATGAAGAGTAGAATCAAACGCGCCATCGAACATGGAACATTTTGTACAGAGTCTCGCAACATGACATGAAAGGACATCAAACTCTGTCCTAAGTTCCACGACATATCATTAAAAGGATAATTTGAACAAAATCGTAATACCAAACTCATTTTACCCCGCCAAGAATACAAACGCAAAACCAAAAACGCGGACCAGTTCGTGCACCCCAAAAAACTGCACAAAGAAACCCAAAGAATTGCTGCGAATCGGTTCCAGAGAATTCTTACTTTTTGGAATGTACCACAACAGGCCTGCTCCCGGGAGCGGCAGGTCTCAACCCACTGTGCCAAGCATGCAGCGTGGCCATAGTGATGGACTGGCATGCGACGCCACGCTGGTGCAGCGTGAGGTGGCTCAAGTGAGAGAAGTGAAATCACTTGGGATCCACCGTCAAATCTGTTGGTAAATGTGTACGTGGAGCATCCATCATGAGATGGCCGATATGTGATGATATTGACGGCTCATTTCGGGAAAGTAGGTAGGAAATGTGAGAGTCATATTCGCTACGGACCGCATTCAGCATATGTTGGTGTTTGTGGTTGCGGAAGGCGGTGTAGAACTCTATATCAGATGGTCCAAAAGGCAGGTAGGTGGAACAGTTTTAAGCACCTACATTGAACTGAGTGCGTTCATCTGGAGGCAGTCTAGTCCGTTAAACGTAGGCCAATGGCAATCACGCGAATGAACGGCTGAGAGTTTAGGGTCTCCTCCTCCGCCACCGCTGCAGCGCATGGCCGCATCACGTGGTTGCAAGGGCTCGGTACCTGAGAAATGTCATGGAGATTTCTGGGGAACCACCTTTCAGCTGAGGTTCTCAAGCCAAGACCTTGCCACATCTTGCTATATCCAAAGGTCCGTGACCTCAATCTTTCTGGATTCACATATCTCAACCCCGAAGCCTCATGCCTTCATCTTCCCATGAATTGCTTGCTGTTTGAACTCAGTTCAAATTCCTATTGATTCCTCATACACCTTATGCAGAATCGGCTCATGACGCCAAGGAACAGATCGCACAAACTCCGCAGCTGCCTTCTGCTGCAGGTGACTGATCCTGATAATCGAAAAAAACACATTTTCGTTTCCAAGTCAATGGACCCCGGCTTTCAGATCGATGGAGTCCGAGTCATTCGGGAGAAAAGAGATTTGGTGAAGACTCAGAAGCGCTAGCGCATGTGGATCATATGTTTATTTCAGATACAAGAAATACCTGAGCCAAATGGCCTCCTTCTTCATCTGTGTTGAAGTTCTGTAAGGCCTCCCGTTGCTGTCGCCGTTGATCGTCCGCGTGCAACGGCGCCCGTGGGACCACTGCGACGAACCGCGCAGCTCGCTCCTGCAGAATCTCCGCTGCCTGCTGCAGATCTCCATGCGTGGCCGCCAACGCCCTCTCAGCTCTTGGCCGTTCGTAGCCTATGCTCAGACGGCTCAGTGGGCAATAGCCAAAAGACCGTGACTGAGAAGACGGCTGACGAAAATAACATAGCAAACCTGCAGGAATTGTTCCAAGTTTGTGTTTTGGGGATGTGTGTGTTATACTGCATGTTGTTTTTCAATCTGTTGAAGGGCTCGAGATTGCTAGTGCTGCACATTAGAACAACTCGCGTGCCCCAGCGGCCTGTATGCCACGCCTTTTGTCATGCTGGCTCTGCACTTTCTTAAACAAAAGCACGTGCAGGGCCATGAGAGGTCAGGAGAAAAGAACAAGCGGTGAAACCGGTGGCTTGCAAATGACCCTACAAAGCTTGGAGACTACCTGAAGTACATGCAGGGCAAAGAGACAAGCAGTTGCAGTGAAAGTGCCTTCAATGGTTGCTGTCGAGTGGCCCTACAAGCTTCGCAGACTACCTGAAGTACATGCAGGGCAAAGAGACAAGCAGTTGCAGTGAAAGTACCTTGAATGGTGGCTTTCGAGTGACCCTACAGTGCTTCGGAGACTACCTGAAGTACATGCAGGGCAAAGAGAGAAGACGTTGCAGTGAGAGTGTCTTGAATGGTGGCTTTCGAGGGCTTCCGAGTGACCCTACAGTGCTTCGCAGGCTACCTGAAGTACATGCGAGGAGAGCTGCGCAAATGCGCAGGGTGCCAATGTGATGGCCTCCCGCAGGAATACTGTGGCACGTTTGTGATTGGAAATCCCGCGCGTGTTTTCCAATCCTGACTGCGGCGGGTCAGCTGAGAAGCTGTTACCATTTTCTTGGTGTGAGCGCTTGGCATCAGCTCGTAGGTGCACAAGCCCACCTTTTGCTTGCTGTTGGCCGCTCGACTTCCTGGGATGTAGGCCTGTGCAGTCTCGCATCCATTTTTGATTTGGTTGCTTGGAAACAGGGGTTCGAAAGTTCAGCTGATGCTTCGGCTGGGCGAGAGCCTGCTTTCCACAATGCATGTGCGGCCACAGGCGACCGCCTTCGGCAATTGCAAGCTAGATAGATCAGTCTGTTGAAGCTTAGGCACTGTTGGTAAAGCTCATGGCTCTTTTTGTCTACAACCAGAGTGCCCTTCGAAGGCCAAGCGACCCATCTCTAACAGCTTGGAGAGAGGATCCTGGCGGTGAAAACTGCAGTCTTCCAATCATGGAATGCAAAGACTGGGACGTATAGCCTTTTACATATGCCGGGTATAGTATGCACGAGCACTTCTCCCTGTTGTTCGCATCCTTTGCAAGAAAGCGAACCTTCGTTGACTTCAACCTTCGATGGCCTGGGTGTATTGGCTCAGTGCTTACGCACCAGAAGGTCCTAACGAATGAATATTGCAAAACACTATGTTATATAACCACTATAAACCTCCAGAGTTGAGGTTGAAAATACTGTCCAATAGACATCAGGATATGCCGGGGGTAGTCGGTAGACATCAAAAAGTCCACTTTCACCACCTGCACGTTCACCACCTCATTCTTTCCACCTGTTTCGGACCCAGCTCACCCCTCCTCGCGCATGTCTGCCACGGCCGCGTTCGCCCCCGCCCCCTCGTCGATGAGCAGCGCGGCGGCCGCGTCGGCGTCCCCGTCGCAGTGGCGCAGTGCACGGCTGCAGCTCGGCAGGTCGGCACCACAGACCTCGGTCGAAGGGGCACCGTTCGGTCCAACCGGACGCGAGACCGTCGTAACGAGAAGGGTAACCATTGAGGGTCTCAAAGCTCCTGGTATGATATTTGATGGTTCAAATACAAAGGATGCAACTGCACTTCGCACGGTTCGGGGTGCAATATATATACCGGACAGCTCGAGACGTTATGCAGATGTGGGTGTAGCTCACGCAAAGGCCCAGCAATCCCAGGTGTTTGTCTGTTGTTCCTACCGATAGGTTCAGGGTGCACCCCCCTTATTGAGCCATTCCGTGTGGAAACAAATGAGCTGGAAGCTGAAAAGATCGGCAAAAGCGCGCAGGTGCGTGCGCAGGATGAAAAGAGGTCAAACATGTTCAAACCACCGGAACTCCCTCACTTTCACCTTTCTTAAAAGATCTTACAGCAAAAGATTCAAAATGCAACCCGGGCAGCTCACAGGTGTTGCTAAGCATTCTGTGCTGACACGAGACTTGGTGACCACTAGAAAAGGCTCCTACATGCTCCTACTGATATGTTGTGCCCTGCTGTGAAAGTGGTCGAGGATTCAGTTTCTGTGTTTGGGAACTTCCAAAGTATCTCATTTCGCGTCAGCGTGCTGCCCCTTTCGTTTGGGAACTTCCACCACGTTCTGCCCCCATGTCGCCTCCGAGAGCATCTGCGCTTTCTCCTCCATGGGTTTTGCCCGTGAGCGAGGCCACGGATCGCGGCGCTTGGGAGCCCGAATGGTGTGAACGCTGCTGATCGTCGAGCAGGTTTGAACAAAAGAAACCGTAAGCTAGAGAAGACTCATGCAACATGAATCATGGGCCATGACCCAGTTCTTCAAGATGTATGTTCTTCAGAAGGAGCAAATCTGAGGGTTTCAATCATTTTAGACGTCCACTGACATGTGCAGTGACTGACATTTGTAGTACAGATCCGGTAGCCGGGCGTTCATGATCGTGCTTTCGGAAAGCCATGTGTCCGTATCTTGATCCTTTGCCCTGCGGTCAGAGGCTGTCTCAACAGCTTTGGTTCAGTCCAGTCAAGCAGTCGAGCAGTCCGGTCTTTGGTTCGTCGTCCTCTATCTGGACAAAACGGCCAAGCTCTTGATATTTGCTGGTGACCACAGTGTTGACTAAAGTCAGGGATCAGCCCCCATGTACTGTACTTTTCTAGTTCAAGATAGTTCAAGGGTCTCATGGAGCTCAAACCCTCTGTGAAATCCCATGGATGTCACTAGTGTGGACCATGCACAGCCTCATTTTCTCTATGTCTCTTAGCTCCAAACAAATCCTTTTCTCTTCGGCGGACCGTCACACAGACCATCACTTCTGATTCCTTCGCAAGAAGACTTCTGCTCGGTTCGCGGTTGGGTGCCGTTGGCGGCCGGCCTGTCTGTTCCTTCCGCACCGTTCGCACCGTGGCAGCGCCGAGTCGGTGTCTCACCATCGCAGGGGCCCCGCAGACTGCAGCCATGGCACTGAGCACAAAGAGCAGCGTCGCGAAGTCCACAGAGCCAGCAGGGAGCTGCTCCTTCACATTCGATAGTTTAAAAATACATTCACCTTCGGCCGCGTCAGGGAAAATATATCAGAGGTCATGAGAACACTGGAGCTTCATTTATTTGGCACCTTCACACTTGCTGATACTCCCTTCTTCTCTGAATTGTGTGAATCCCTTCGAGCTAATCTGGATGGACAAGCACACTGTTTGTACTCCTTCATTGAAGCACCCACCCCACCCCGAAGCCATTCAGCTTAGAAGGTTGTGTACACCGAAATCATTCTGCGATGGCTGCACCTCCAGGGCCCGATGCTCGGCCGTGGGCTGGTCAGCTCCCTTCGTGATGTCCTGCACGAGGGTACGTGCAGCGTACGTGTAGCGTACGTGGCAGAGGCGTCGCTAAGACAGGTCCAAAAGCTTGGGGCTCTAGATGGATGTCTATAAACATATATATGTATATATATATACTGTGTGTATAATGTGTATGTGTGGTTGTTTTATATGTTTTTATCGTGTATATGCCTCTGTTGTGGGGGCTTGGGCTTCCTTGGAGTGGAAACCTAAACCGCAAAGAGCCCAAGTCGTCTGCCGGGTTCAACAAATGTTCAAGACCGCTTCACCGCACGTGGCCAATGCCACACCTCCATGGACCCTATCACCCGACATAGCAAATGAGCCTAATTGCCGAAATAACAGCGAATCATGACTAGGACTAGGACTTAAGGACTGCAAGCTGCAGGTCTGGTGACTAGCAACATCGCTTGTCGTCCCTGCACCCTCTGGCACCCTCTGGCCGAGCGTCCGAGGGGAAGGCAAAGCAGCGGCCACAGCGATACTCATCCTCCGGAGTTCAAGAGTTCGCTGGACTTGCAACAATTCTTTCTTTTGAACGAAAGGCAACTTGGAACACGACCATGAGATAGTCTGATGGAGAACCGAACTGCTTTCTTGTTCCATTGTGGCTCTTGGTTCATTTTGAAGTTGCCCGGCCAATCTCTATATTCCACGAAACAAAACAGAATCAACCTGTCACACCCTAGCCGCGTCCAGACACCCACCAACGAACGACGGCAACGAACTGCTCCGCCTTGCTGCGCAAAAGTCCCACTGCTTCGGCGGAGAGGTCACAGCCCACGCCGAATAAATCCTGCTCAACGCAAATTGGATTCTTTCCACTTGAATGCAAGCTATCAACAGAAGCGGTGCAGTCCATCCCATCCCATGGCCATGGCTGAAAAATGCATCTGAGCCCAAGATTTGGAACCCTTCGCATTTCGCAACATCAAATCCCGGACTGGCCTCCTTGGGACAAACTGACACACTGCCGCACACTGCATTCAGCCCAACCAGCTGCAACAAATCACAGTGCAACAAAAACACAATTCCCACAAATCTCCCAGAATCGCAATGTCTGGCAATCACACAAAGCACAGCAACCAGATGAAGACACGCAGAGCCGCTCCGGATTGGCTCGGAGCATTGGGATCAGACCATTGCCTCGTTTCGCGACTCTCCGCGAGGGGGAGGTCCATGCGAGTCGATCCGGTTCGAGTCAGTCATGAGTCGGATCGACTCGGGAGTCTGGTCGGAGTTGTCAGTGCCAAAAGGACATGGTCAATGGAAGGCTTGAAAGGGTACTGCAGAACCTTCTGAGTAGAACCTCCTGAGGAGTCACGTAGTAGCTGGCATGCTGAAAGCACGTGCGCAGCGCATGCCATCTCAAAGCCAAAATCCCCCTCCAACTGTTCGAGTCACGGAATCCAGAAAGCACTTCAATACTGGGCACAGCCAAGTAGCCCACTGCACAGCCAAGCTCCAGAAGGACTGTCCTTGGTGGATAAGAATGGAGGTTGCAAAGAAACGCTTTGTTGGACTGCAAAAGCCAGGGCTTTTGAATCATGTCGGCCCAAGTGCTGTCACTTCTTCAGTGTTCCTTTGGTCACCAAGGACCACTGTAATCATATTTCTGTTGATTCGACTTCCACGACCTTGAAACATGTGGATCTCCGCCACACCCTTGACATGAAAAGACACAAACACACCTTTACCTAAGCCAAAAATCTGCATTCCTAGGAGGCAATGAATATATGTCCCATCACTGAGCCTTTGCATGAAGCACTTGTCCAAGCTTGGCCCCGTGCTTCGTTTCCAAGGCTGCTTTCTTCAAGTCAATCACTTCCGGGCCCTCAGAGCTGGGCGGACACCGCACCGTCGGGGTCAGAACGGTTCGCTCCTCGTTTACAGTTGCTGGACGAGTTTTGGCCAAGCGCATGTCACGCAGAGAAACTGCAGAGCTTACAGTTGCTGTACGTTCTCACTACTGAACTTCAGATCTTCGAGGGATGAAATCCTTACTGCAAGAACCCGGCAGGAGCAACTCTCCCAGCCTTTGTTTCCTCTTCGCCCCCTTCGCTTCGATTCAGCCGAACATCTCCAGGTCTCCGAGCAGATTCCAACTCATCCACCCAGCCTTGTTTGGAAAAGGTAGATCAAGACCAATGTCTAAGGTCCAAGCAGGGAGCAAGAGGAGAATTCTTCAGATCTTTCACAACCCGATATACTACAAGGGCAGCCGGACTTGGAAAGGAACGATTCAAACCAACCAGGGCCAGACGGACAAGTGAATTGGTGAACATCACAAAGTATCAAGACCACGCTTCGCCTAAGAGATGTTTACCCCTTTGGGTGTTTTGCTTTGGTAGAAAACCACAGATGTATGTCCCCAAGGGGAAATACCAGACCTGCTGTTTTGTTGACTGCTAAGTTGCGTTGATCTTTTGTAGCAAGTCTAGTAGGCCACTTTGTCTCCTAGGTCAATTGTGTGGTATCCCCGACCATCCTTCTCTGTCCAAATCCGCAAAGCCGAGGAACACGGCAATGTCCTACCCCCCATCTTCAGTCAACAGCTCCCACAGGTCTATGTTGGGTCTTCAAATACTCTCCTCATCACCTCGTCTTCCCCACCAAAACAAATAAAATCTGACCTTTTTAGTTACACCACCACTCCAAAAGCGCCGTGAAAACACATCCGCCGTCAAAGCAAGCGGCGTTTCGGATCGGCCAGGACGTGTGCGGGCATCAGCTCGGCGAACTCCTGGAACGACCAGAAGCGACCAGAGGTTCCATCGGTGAAAGCGGTGTCCATGAGAAAGGTCCAATAGCCAGTCAGTAGTGAATGAGATTTGCCAGTCAAGGGCCTGTTCGAAGCATGGGATGCAGCCCACATAACATCAACCAATCACACAAAACGTCAACAATCATTGATCTACTGACGTGTTCTTGTCCCTTCCAGTAGCCACAGGTTGCTTGGCAAACAGCTTCGATCACCGGGCTGCCAGAAGAATCGATGCCTCAGGATCTCGGCACTCCTCGCGCAGGTAGTGCCGATCTTTGAAGAAGTTCACCGTCCGTTCGCGGTAGAACCTGGGTGTTTTGTCCGGCCGGCGCGGTGTTTTCGTCCGTTCGCGCGGAAACATGGTTGGCCGTTTCGCCGTTTCGCTTCCAAAGAAGTGTCTAGATATCTTGATCAACAGGGTAGCATTCTTCCCAACCGTGGGTTCCGTTTCTGACCACAGCCAAAGGGGCCAATGTGTGAATGATGTCTCTGACTCAATAGCCAACGACATGTCCACATCTACGTTCCTTGGGCATCCGTCTGACACAAAGTCTAACTTTTGGACGTTTGTGTTTGGGACACAAGAGCTTCAGTAGTCCTCCCCAACACTCTGCAAATGTTTCCAGGTCTTCGAGCTGATCCCAGTAGGCTCGAGCACCGTCGCAGTAGCGTCGCTGCCAGTCCTTTGGAAGATGCTTCTGGTAAGCTAGTTTGTGAGTCTTCGTCCTCCGCAAGGTTTCGAGGCACTCTCAGCCGCTCATCTGCATGAAAACTGATAGAAGCAGCCCAATGCCGAATGAGTCCCAAGTGTCAACGCTGGATTTCCCGCGAATCCCAGGCCCGTTTCTTGATGTCGCCAGAAAGGCACCCTCCAAAAGAGGCAAGGTTCACTGCAAAATTGCAAAGGAAATGATCTGATTGTTGAGAATGAGATAGAGTCGTTGCATGTGCGATGGACTTCGTGATTCTGGCTCTTGCGTGCAGGGATATGTGATATGTGTTTGGACATTCTTCCACTCTGCTGTATCAAGACTCGAATTTGCTGCTCAGAAGTGAAGACTGCAATGAATACTAGTAGCTAGTAGCGATGCCAGGAGCCCCTAGTAGCGTCCTTGTTACTACTAGTAAGGCCAGGAGCCCTAGTAGCGTCCTTGCTCCCCTGCAATGAATACCTGTTATATAGTTATTGTTTGCTCACAGGTGGTTTTGAAGCCATAGCTAGTGCGTGTAAACAGTGTGGGAATGCCTTTCAGGTGGTTTAATCTGGAGGGGCTGGTTTCTTTTCCTACATGAGGTTGCGGGAGTTGAACCACACGTGAAAGGACTTCATTGACAGGAGAAATGTTTTGTCTTACAGAAGCTGTCCACCCCTCCAAGCCCCAATCTTCCACTTAGCCCGGCCCTGAGCCCGGCCCAGCCGCCTCCGGCACCGGTGTCTCATGCTCTCGCTGCATGAGCTGCTCAACGGCCTGGAGGTCTCCTGCCTGGGCGCTCTTTCGCATTCTGGAAAAAACGGTCTCTGTTTTTGCCAGGGTCTTCAGCCATAGTAAAGACCAGCAGTTGGGAATATTTCTTGGGCTTATCGCTTTCTGGAGGTTCAACCGAGCAAAAATTGGGGATGTCGACATGAGAAGCTGAGGATCTCAGCCGAGGAGTGAGGCCTTGCGAGGCCTTGCGAGGCCTTGCGAGGCCTTGCTTGGCCTTGCTTCGAGGCCAGTGACATACAACGGATATCTGTGTATGGCTTGCACACCACCGCATCTTTGCCTTAGTGGTGCCTTCGTCTTCAAGCACTGGCGTTGTGGGCTTTGAGCAATACATTATTATAACTACAGGTGCTATAGGATACCTCAATCCTCAACCTACGTTAGACGCAGACGCTGAAACGGGCCTCCCCTGCCTGCTTCCACGAACTAATCCAACAATCCGGCCATCAGGTTGGCCCTTGACGGATTAAAAGGCGCCCAGTGAGCACACTTAGCCCATTGTCTCACTGTCATCCACTTTGCACAGTGGGTTGGCCTCAAACGCCTTGACTGAGCACAGTTGCGCTTCATGTGACCTCTGGCTGAACAGCACAGCAGGAAGGTTCACCGCACAACACCTCCCAAACTTCGCGGAAGCGCCCCACACCCGGCCAACGGTGTGAAAGTGCCAGTCAGGTTTCAAGAACCCAGTTGCAGTGGCTCTTTCGGGTAGGGCTGGCATATATAAAACAAAGAGAGAGAGAGAGGGAGAACAAAAAAGCAAGAAAAAATAGAAAAAAAGAAAGAAAGAAATAAAGAAATGAAAGAAAGAATGATTAAAGAAATAAAGATAAAAGAAAGACAGACAGAGAGAGAGAGAGAGAAAAAAAAGAAAAGAGAGAGAGCGCGCGATGGAGGTGAATGTCTTCCGCCACCGTGGAGTGCCCCAAAACACCTGTGCCGCGAACCTGAAGTTTTGCACACCCTACAAAGTTAGATAGATACGGGGAAAAGAAAAGATTTGAGACTCTGCAGGAAGTTCACCAGATGATCAGATGGATCGGCTGAGAGGATCGGTCGGCGGTATGCGGGGCCGGTCTGCCCCACTGTACGCCCGGACCTGCAAGGCTCGGAGTGCTTCCTCCAACTCCCGCTTCGGAGAGCGTGTTGGATCTCGACCTTACACAAGGGACGTTTGGAAAGCGTCGAAAGTCGACCGAAGGTCGTCAACAAATTTGAGGATGTCATCGAACGAATTGAAAGGAACTTTTCTAGTAGGTGGTAAGGTTGCTGTGTCAAGGACCTTCGTTGAGTCCTTGATGTGGTGCATACTCTTACTCATCAAGAAATCCTATACTGCCAAGTACCTCACCTGCCAATCCTGCCATACGTGTAGCTTTGAGTATGAGCTTCATGTGAAGAATGGTCAAATCTTTAACAAATGTATCAAAGAAGCTGCATGCGTCCAACTGCAGCGGCAACCCTTCAGAACAAAAGAAAGCAAGATCGGAGATCAGATTGGCATCAGCTCTGATTGAGGACCCTTTGAAGGGACACAAAAAATACTAAGTAGTTCCAATGTGTTTGAATCATCGAAGGCCATTCAGGTTCAGATATGCGGAACGGTTCTGGCTTGTGCAGAACACTGTAGGAGCAAGAAGCTACTAGTAGCAAAGGGCATCGCTACTAGGAGCAAGGACGCTATTGGTAGCTCCTGGCATTACTACTAGTAACAAGAAGCTACTAGTAACAAAGGATAAACGATGCTAACAGAGTAAACGTTGTAGAGGATCTGATACTTCGTGCCTCAAATAATAAATTCTTTGACTTTCAAACACATCCCAGGAGAAAGATAAAAGCAACAGACTGATGCCAGGCAGATGCAGGTAGATGAAACGAAGGATTGGATTTCCTTCAGCACGTGAAAAATCTTAGTCATCTCATTCCTTGAAAACTGAGGTGCCACTCTTGAGCCCACAGCTTCCACCCTCAAACGAAAAGCCCTGGGCACCCGGCGCTTCTTCACCATCTCAGCATGCAAATGGGTCCGGGGAGCCCTGGACGAGGGCCCGGGGGGTTTTCGACGTGCCGTGGTTGGGTAGTGCCCGGGGTTGAGATGGGTTGAGTCGCCATTCTCGGAACAGGAAGTCACTATACATCTTAGCCACTTTTCGGTGTCAGGTCACTTGAATAGAAAAAAATCGAATGCTCAAGAACTTTTTGACCAAAATCAATGCCGGGAGAACTTGGGCACCATGGGATAAAGCGGGCACCGCTTCATCACGTGTCTTCTCGTTCGTTCGCACGAGTCTCCCTTCTCCAAATGTGCACTCCCGAGTCTCCCTTGTTCCAAAGGTTTTTATGCAAATGATCGTTTGGCATCTGCCACGTCGGGAGAATAGTGGCGACAACGGAAGAAGGCGGAGATCGCCTTCTTTGTCGAATCACGTCCTTTTTTGCGCCAACACACCTCTGTGTGGCGATTCCTTGAGTGCAACACACTTCAAATACATTCAGATTCAGATACATCCAAATTACAATACTGGATGTTTGTAGGCGTACTAGATAATACATGAACTTCGGTGTTCAGATACATCCAGATATTGGTATACTTCAAAGAGACATTATATACTATGGCACACTTCAGATACATCTGTCTCGTCCTTGTGGCCAGCCATATGCGCAAGGCCGTACCGGCCTCCATTTGGCTCCGACTCCTCAGACGAACACCAATGTCATCTCTCAGTCGAAGAACTCCGACGGCGTAGTCTAGTATCAAGCTCCTTTGATGGAGGCCAAACAAGGAACCTGACAAACACTTCCAGAAGCCCAGACTGGGTTGCTGTGAAGGTCCAACAACCCATAACACCTCTTGGTCCAGACGTCCGCTCAGAACATGGCCAAATTGATGGGAATGCTTTGCTTGTGCATTGAACATGACCTTCAGTCGTTGTCCCTTTTCTGTTGAGACAACGGGCGAAGTACTTCCAGATGGATCACAATGGCTCGGCTCCATGGGCCCAGGCCTTCATGTTGTCTTCTCCGATAAGCTGCTAGAGGCCATTGAAGCTCCTGCACAACTTCGCAGCGACAAGAGCGTGCATGCTGAGAGCACGAACTACTACCGACGTGCGATGATCTATATAAACACAAAACGTGTGCGCATAGCTTGACAGCCAGAACGCTACAGCTGCTTTATCTGAACCTTCGTTCCTATGGTGGGAAGAAACCACCTACAGTAGCTGAGCTTCTGCAAACAAATCTATGTTGCCAGCCGCACTGCGAAACACCCCTTTGGAGGTGTCTTGAGGAAGGGGTCATCAAAACAGCAACATGTGGTCCCGAACGCTCCCGTTGTGGGCAATCAGAAATCTGATGGGCGAAAAGCTGTGATTTCGCTCCTCTGTAGATGCCATGGCAGATTAGATATGCCACAACTTGGCATGGCATCTACAGTCTGTGACAAGCACAACTGAGTCGTGGATGGATTTGGTCTCAAGTCCTCTGAGTCGTGGCGTCTCCAAAACCATGCTTCCGTTCGAGAGAACGCACTCGGTTGACGGACTCCATTCGTCTTGGTCTCGGCTTGTCGGCAGGGATTGACGCCTCAAAAATACCCAGTCCTACGTTGACTCTGCAGGTTTTTCACATCTACAGCAGTTAGTTAGTGACAAAGAGCCTAAGGCTGCTCTGACACGCGATGGCACACATCCTGTCTGGAAGGCTCTGAGCCTCTGCTTCGTGTGCAGACATGCTGCCAAGAGATTGTCCAGCTGAGCTCTTGCCCCAAATGAAAGCATCAATTCTTTCCTGACCAGACCTGACTTGTGCCAAGAAAAAGAAGGTGAAAGTTGCCGTCCAAGTTCAAAGAAGACAGCCAGAAAAGGCTTGCACCTGTGGATATGGAAACAAAGCCATCGATCACCACCCTTTCACGTGAGTTTGTAGTTTTCACATGGATGGGTCATAGGAGTGGCTGAGTGTGTGGAAGTTGACCCACTACACATAGAGTGGCTCATCATGTGACCTGATTGATGGGTACCATGATACAAAAATGATCAAAAATGACCCAGCCATCACATCTCAAAATCTCCTTCACACAATCCACGACAACTCCAACCCCCGACATCACATGCTCGGCTCTTGGCTGATTCCAGCTACTAGGAGCAAGGACGCTACTAGGGGCTCCTGACCTTACTCCTAGGAGCAAGAAGCTACTAGGAGCAACTAGGAGCGATCGGACGCTACTACCCAGATGGACCCCCTACCTCTGCATCTTTTTTCCCGAAGATCGAGCCACGCGCGCGACTCTCAGCGAAGCGGTGGGTAGACCTTGTTCAGGCCAACTCCGAACCTGGCGAGACGTGCAAGTGCATCGCTACTAGTAACAAGGTGCATCGCTACTAGTAACAAGTACATTACTACTAGTAGCTTCTTGCTACTAGTAACAAGTGCATCGCTACAAAAACAAAAACTCTCGCATCCGCTCAGGGCTTCTCCTCTTTGAGGGAGCCAGCAACAAAGGACTTGGGATGTTGAAAGTGTCCAACGCTGGTGGAAACCGACCAAATAGCCATACAATACCTAAACAAAAGGTGTCAATGGAAAACGGTTGGTGGGGAATTGCCCATCAAAACCCTGATTCCTGGTCAACATGCGACCCAATGCCACGGCTGAACAAAGCAACAGCCACAGTCGCACAACAACCCAAGTTTCCCAGCCCAGTCGCAACTGGGATCCGGAACTTTAGGAGGTTGGTGCTCTCTGGTGGCTCCGAAATCCTCAGTGCGCTGCATGAAAGCGCCAGTGCTGAAGTCCAGTCGTTGTCCCACAATGATACTGACCGACCACGAGACAAACCAGATAAGACCAGCGTGGACGTCAGGTTAAGGACAGATGGCTCGGTCATCAGAAGCTTGGACTGCAAGTGCTCTGAGGATGGCAAGTTCTCCCGCTAAACCCCCCCCTTCCCCAAAGAGACCGCACATCTGACACAGCTCCATTCGAGAACTGGCGAAAATGGGAAGACCATTCACCCCGCTCATTCGCTCCGACCTCTTCCACCAGATCTCCCATCCTCTCAGCTCCTGAGTCTCCCTGGCCACGTTCCTGGGTTGATGAGTTTCTCCGGCCTCATTGAGTCCACCGCCACCAGCCCGTTCAAGGCCTGACTCAAGTGGACCGGAGTTCGGCAGGATGACCCCTGTGCCACTGAGCCAAAAATCATTAAAGTCCTTCGTGGGGGAGAGCCAGGCCTCCAACTGCTTTGAGCGCATCGTCGAATAAAAAAGAAGAAACATGTTTCAAAGAGCTAGACCGCTAGACTGCATCGTCGATGGACCAAATCCATTAAAAGTCATGAAGAAACTCAATCAGTCTCCATAAATGGCTCTCACCTTCCCAGCATCACTCTCGTTGGAGCTCTCCAGTAGCACCTGGCTGGGGTGGAAGATGAGGTTTCCTGCTGCGATTTCAAGGTTTCAACTTTCCTTTGGAGAATTCACCATGTGGTTTTTGATGGAAACCGTGGACACCTAGGCCCTCGTTGATGTGGAACAAGTGGAACATGCCTCCAGTGCTAGGGCCTGGGAGGAGTGGCAATCCGAGACCAATTTCATTGGGACAGGCATTGTGACCTTCTACACCTCTGTGTCCCTGTGGAAGCCAGGCCATTCTGGCCCCAGAAAAAGGCCGCGACCCATGTCTCAGCCCTCTTCAATGTGCCAATGAATTTGACTTCCACGAATCGACAGAAGACAGGATGTTTGCATCAAAAAAAGGCCTGGCCTTTTTGATGGATCCATAATCATCCATATATTCCGATATTAGGTTGCAGGCCATCGCTACTAGGTTGGAGGCCATCACTATTAGGTTGGAGGCCATCGCTTCTAAGCCATTGCTTCTAGGTTGGTGGCCAATAGAATTAGGCTGATTGTCAATCTGTTTATATGTAAATTCCGATACTCCGTCATGCACCAAGCATCGGGCCTTCTGAGTTGAGAGTGCCAACGAGCCCACACTGGCCTCCGGCTTGGGTCGATTGGCCTTGGTCTCGGTGAGAAAGTAGACGCTCTTCACACTTCATGAGACCCTATATAGCCTTGGTCCAGCTTTTGGAGAGCAATGAAACGCTTAAGAAGAAGTCTGCACTTGGATGGATTTGTCAGAAGAGTTGTAGAAGACAAGATCAATCAAATGAGGGTTCCCCAATCCCCTGATTATCTCCAAGTCTTACATATAGAAACAACATCATTTATATAAATATATATATATATATCTAGTAGCTCGGCTGCTGAATTGCTTTCACTCCGGTGCCTCCACTCCCTTTTTAAACTCCCGGCTTGCATAAAACTTAAAGTTTGTCAGAATGGAAGAAGGTATAGCAAATGCATGATTTTTCAACACAGTGGTTTTGTATGTTTAATCTCTTCAATCAGTGTTTGGACATGATGGACACTTTGTCATCCTCTCAAACAGCAATCAGACAGGTCACCACCTGAAGGTCTCCTCTGGTGGTTGCGACTTTAGGTCTCCCCGCGCGACCACACCGAAGCATCAGTGCCTTGGATCAAACGTGGAAGGCCCGGTGTTCCCCGAATCATCGCGACAAATCGTGGGGATCGGCGTCGAGAGCGAGACAACTGGGTTCCGACGCGGAAAACAAATGGCCTAGCTTTCCATCATGATATCCTCAAGTGGACCTTTGTAGTAAATGAGTATTGTGCCAGAATGCGAGAATCTCGGAATCTTTGACGGACTGAGGATACGCTTGATTTCGCACGTTTCTCAGTTCTAGTTCTAGTTGTGTTTGAAGATTACCTTTAGAAACACTGGCTGTTGATTGCAATTCTTTCCCTTTTTGACTGATTCTAATGAGTTTGTCAAAAAGGGCACAGCCAGAAGCTTTCCGCAGTCATCAAAAGATTTAAAGTCTATGTTCGGCCACCTGCTAGCTTCATCTGCGCCATCTGAGCTGGCAATTTGGTCGGAACGAAAAGGCATTCCTGGGTCTTCGGACTCCTGCGGTTCGAGGGGCCGCCACTGATGAACCACACGTCTGAGGAAGGAAATGAAGAGGTCATTCAACGGGGACAGTGGTATTCACGGGCGATTCTGTAGGATGTTGCACACTTCGCTTTCTCAATGCAGTTAATGCGTGAAACAATGCTTGTTGATAGACGAAATATACTGTATGCAAGGAGGGCATGACACTTCACAAGTGGAGCTGAAGTCGCCTCAGCATAACCAGCTTCAGAGTCTATTCAGCTTCAAGAACAACGAGAGCGAAGTGTGCTGACTTGGCTTTTGACACCCAAACCCTTCAATCCTTTCGATGGCTACCAAGTTTTGTATCGTTTGTGTTGGACCTACCTCCTACCTGTCGCCTTTTCTTTCTCACACCGCACCCTTTCATTGAGGAATTTGCAGCCTCCGCACAGCTTTTAACTCAGCACCAAGCAAATTCTCTACAACAAAACAGTTCTCCTTGTGATGGCGCCGTGGCCAACGAACACTCGCTGCAAACGGGAAAACTCCGTACCGGTACACAAGCCAATCCGTACGACCTCCCGGGACAAACTCCCGAGGTTTAGTGGCTGGGATCAAATACATCAGATTCTGGGCGAAGATTGCGCCTAGAATCACTGGACTCTCTAGATCAAAACACTTCTGCACGATGCTTTAGATTGGAAGGCCAGTCGGAAGACCTCCATCACAAGAAGCTGTTTGTTCAGCACATAAAGTTGAGCGTCATGTCAGGAAGCAACCCTTCTGCCGTCATTGGCTCGAAGTCGATTGAAAAAGAACAGAGTGCGAAAGCAGGCCTTGCTTGTCTGTGCACTTTGAGAACTGGAATGATGTCCAAAGCTCTGATTTCATCAATCAAAGTTTTGTGGAAAATGTCACTAGTCTGAGGCCAGTGACCCAACATGACAATCCACGCGCGAACGAAGTCTCGCCAGCAGAGTCGCTGGACGGCTCGCAGGGGTCTATTTACAATGCGAAGCTCATGTCGCAGATGGATGGGCACCGTTGGCTGTGCGTCGAAAGGGGAGGGCTTCCTGAAGACTGGCCCGCACAAGTGCTAGGCCTTCCGACTAAATCGTCACCACAAAATCGAATGATCATCAATTAAAATCCAGATGAGATGGCTTGGAACTGTCCCAGCAAAGAGAAGCAATTGGACATTCCGGCCATAAAGTCCCCTTTCTTTCACGGAGTGCCCATCCAAGTAGGGAATGATGGCTTACATGCCATGGCACATACGGTTGCTTTCTTGCGCCGAGCCAGGGATATGTTCTACGTCTACGTGGCACTTGAGGGTATTTGCAAATAACCGACAGGAATAAGCCTGCAATCATGCAATCGTCCAAATGCTTCGTGCCAGGCTCCAGTTGGGTACATGTTCCATCCACCTTGAGAAACCTCGTTCCATCCAAATTCTCCTCAACTATGGGAGCA